TAACTTAGTCTTAAGTGCCAGTAGACTTTTCCGCTGCTACTACCACAATACTTACTCCCACTAATCGTCAGTAGGTGTCAAAACAGACTGAAGGAGACCGAGGCTGGAACTGTTACTACTACTATTTCTACTACTTCTAACTAGCAATGTAGCGGAGTGGTAGTAGTACTGGTACTATTACTGACGCTAATATTAGTCGGGAGTGGCGCTGATTAAAGTCAGCGCTGGGCTGACACTCCGTTATCGGTCCGCCCATACACGAAGGCCCGCACGCACGCGCGGCCTTCAAGGAGCTGACACCGCGTGAGGCTGTCGAATAGAGATCAACCAATAGGAATGAACCAACCAGAAAACCAACCAAGCCGCTACTCGCTCGAGGACACAATCTGATTGGTCCAATCTTATAAGCCTTGCTTGATTAAATATTCGTACAATAAAGGCTTCTTTTTTCTTGTGACCCTGCTCTCCTCGTTCTCCTTGGAGGATTGAGACAAAGCGCCTGGGACGGCAAACATCTTGGCTTTTGGTAGCATTACAACACTTTCTACCGTCCGTCGCCTGTGGCAGTGTCGAGCTGCCGGCCGGCAGCTTTCGTTTTCTGGAGGGGGGACTGTCCTACCGGAATATCAAATGAAAAACAGGTGTTCGGTTCTTCTGGCTTCAACACAGGGCTCCGAAACGTTTGCGCCGAAGTTACAAGACTGCAGCGCAGAAATTATAATCATGTATTATTTGCTTTCTTCGATCTGCTGAGCGGAACGTGGAGACTTTTCTGTTTCTCGCCCTTGAGCTGCAGTCTAGAGCTTCACTTAAGCGGTTAAGTAGCGACAGGCAACTAATGGTGTCAACGCGTTGTCCTATAATCAGTCCATGTCAGTGAATGCCGCTTTCATAAGACTGGATTACCGCAATCTTTGTCGATAGATTTTGATCCCTTACTTCAGCTGGTTGATCAGGAAATTCGTTGATCAAGGTTGGTCCAGGTTGAAGTCTCGGACCTTTCTAGCCTAGGGTTTGACCGACCGTGACAAAAAGACCAGGAACTCAGTACTTCCATGCA